CTACTGCTAATTTTTTCTTGGTTATAAAGGCTGTTTTAGTGGAGCGATGAAAGGAGATGTTAGATACTGCTTGTTTAATGCAAGGGCAAGCACTGACAGGGCATGTATTGAAGAGTGAGAAGCCATGAGGATTGGGGAGCTGAGTATAGGTCGAGGCAACTCAACTTTGGAAACCCTGGGGGCCACAATGATATTCTCAGCACATGCCGAGGGTCACAATTTAAGTGTGGTTGCAAATATATATGCCAATAGCTTTTCACATTGATGGGCATGAATACAAAGATTAAGGCAAGACTACACAACACATAGGCCCCATTTAAGTCGGTTCCTCTGATATTAATAAAATGCAATATTTACCCAATTTCTACCCACATGACAGCACTTTTAATGAGCAATGACGGTCCAGGAATTTAACTACTAAAATGCATAGCAACAGAAGACCATTATATTGACTCGTCATTATGGAGTGTGTTCCCAGTGGAGGCCGTATTCAAAGGATCCCACCCGTGAGCCATGGTTGAGTCCCGAGTAAACCCAAACCTGCACCGCGGGCCGGAAACAAACAGAAATTTAGTAATGTATTTTTTTAAAAATTGAAAAATTGGATTTAAATAAAGATTACATAACTCTTTCTTTCCATGAACAATTGTACTCATCATTTTAAAGCACAAGTCTAAATCATGTCCTTGGTTTTCCTCTTGAAAGACCATTAGACCTTTGGTCTGTTGTGGTACTTGGTTGTCTCTTGGAAGAAGCTCAGATACTCCAGTGATGGGTGCCAGTAGAAAAATTTAGACAGGCCACCTATCCTAACAAAATATACTCTGAAACTTGACTTCTTCGTTTTTACTTCCAGTGTTAAAGTGGAGACAAAGCATCTTGGCAGTTCATAGATTCCAAGACCAGAAAAGACCACTGTCTTACTCCTGTATAACACAGCTCATAAACTTCCCCAAAATAATCCCTAGAGCAGTTCTTTATCCAATATGACACGATTTAATTCAAGTGATGGAGATTTCAGTATCATCCTTGGGAAATTGCTCCAGTGACTAATTACTGACTGTTAACCATTTACATGTTATTCCTAGTTTGAATTTTTCTATCCATTGGATCATGTTATACCTTTCTCTGCAAAATGGAAGGATCCCATTAAGTATTTGTTCCCCTTGTAGATATTTAAACTGTAATATCACCCCTCAGCCTTCTGTTCATTAAGGTAACTATATTGAACTTGAGAATTTCACTATAAGGCATAATTAACAACAAGTCTTATGGCACTTTAAAGACTAACAGATGTACTAGGGCATACGCTTTCATGGGTAAACCCCACTTTCAGATGCATTGAAGATACAGACTAACATGGCTATCCCTTTGAGACTATAAGGCATGTTTTCTAATGCTCTGATCATTCTCATGGCTCTCTTAAGCTCTTGCCCATTTATCAGTATCCCTCCTGAATTGTGGTCACCAGCATTGGACACAGTATTCCTGCAAAAGTCATATCAATGCCAAATACAGAGGTACTTTCTCTGTTACTTGTTTCTGGTTAATGCATCCCCAGGATCATATTTAGCTTTTTTTAGCTAGGGCATCATAATTGGAGCTCATGTTCTGCTGATTATCCACCGTGACTCCCAAATCTTTTTTCAGTCACTCATTCCCAAGATATAGTCTCATATAATATAAGTATGGCCTGCATTTTTGTTCCTAGATCTGTTTCCATTTAAGCCATATTAAAACACACATTGTTTGCTTGTACACTGCTTATCAAATGATCCAGATTGCTTTGTCATCTTAATTATTTATCACTCCCTCAATGAGTGTAATCTGAAATCTTTCAGTAACTACTTTTTCTTCTAGAGCTTCGATAAAAATGTGAAATATAGCATAGAGCCAAGAACCAATCACAATGGGACCCTGTTGGAGAAACACCCACTTGATTATGAGTCTCCATTTACAATTAAAAATTGAGATCTATAAATTAGCTATTTTTTAATCCGTTTGTATGATGTTAATTTTACATCATTTTACCTTTATATATGGAGATAATATACAAAATCATAAATATTAGTGATGGAAATGTTCAATTAAAACAGTGTTTTTCAATTTTTTTCTATACTTTACCCTCATGTTACAACAGAAAACATTTTTTGATCTTCCTTCTAATCTTAGGAGAGTATTTGCAATCCCCAAAACCTGTTTGTAACACACACATTGAGAAGCCATGCATGAAAACAAGCAGTCTTTCAATACTAATGCAGGCTTGTTCCCTGCAAAAGCATTTTCTAATGCTTTGTCCAATCTAGTTTTAAATATTCTTAAAGACCCATCACAGCTTCCCTTGTTTGTAAATCTATTAATCGGCCTAATACTTCTTTTTAAGAGTTTTTCTAATAGTCATCTTAAATTTTCCTTGTCTTCAATTCATCTTGGTACTCCAGTTATAATCTCTTGTGTCCTACATAATTCCTGTCCCTCTTTGGCACTGGAACCATTCACCACGAGTTGATTGCACATAACAGGAGTGGACAAACTGTGGCTTGGAAACCACATGGGTCTCTTTTACTGTTAAAGTGCAGCTCACGGAGTCCCTCCCCTATTCTCCACCTACTGGACTGGAGGTGAGGTACCTCTGCCTTGCAGCGGGGTGGTGCAATACAAGCTTCTGCTCAATGGGGGAAAGAGGGTCTCAGGGCTTCAGCCCTGCGGGGTGTACATGTCAGGGCTTCACCAGTAGTGGGGCTGAAGTGCTGAGCCCTGGCCTTTGCTGGTGAGTCTCAGCTCTCAAACTTCTGAAGATTGGTCCTTAGAGTCTCATATGACAATCAATTTGGTCACCCCATCACAGAATCATCAGCCTAGTCTCACAATTGGCCAGGCTGCAACTGTTTTCTCAGAGGGCTGGTGGAAATAATTTATTCTCACATTTTCCTATTGGTGTCAATAGATCAAACTCTTAGATTGAAGTCTTTCAGGTCAGGGTACTGACTCATTTTCTTTTGTCTCCAAAGGTCTGGCCATACTTATTGCACGATTAAAGTAATAGCAGTTTCCACCTTTGTAGGTTACATCTCCTGCCATGGAATGTTTTCAAGAGGGCTGGAGGACTCAACTATGTGAGTCCCTGTGACTGCTCTCCCTTCCCCGCTTCTAGTCTGGAATCCAATTATAGGTCAACCAGGCTCAGGGCAGGGTTGCTGATATGTAGGGGATTCCACAAGCTTAATTGGAGAAGTGTTATGCCCTGTGCTATGACTCCAGAAATTGGAGTGTTATGTGATTTGTTTTTGTAAAATTCTTTTCAGAGATCAGTAGCTTGCTTCAGGTTTTAAATAAAGGTTCTTAGTGTTGCTGTGATTCAGCTAGTTTGTTTTATTTATTTCTTTAGGGCAGGTGTTCTCTTTCCTTCCCCTCAGTCAGTTATTTTTTTGTATGTCCAGGCTCCTTGCCTCCCTCTGAGGAATGCTACTTGTGGCAGCAAGGGGAAGAAGGCAATACAGATTTTTTTAGAAGCAAGTGTCAATGAAATAATAAAACAAGGAAACTTTAAGCAGTGCCATGATCCTGCTTCTAGGGCAGCAGAAGCTGACACCCACCTCAGGGAGCTGAGTCCCAGCATGAGAATAAGGCCTAGTCGGCATGTCTAATTTAAATTGATATAGTTGTGATACTTATGGGTATGGGACAATTCACACCCCATACCATAGCTTTGCTAATCTATTCCCTCGTGTAGATACAACTAGGTTGACGACAAAAATGCTTCCATCGCCTTAGCTTGGGGAGAACAGAAAAACCCTTTCCATCATGGAAGGCTGAATCTACACTATGGGGGTATGCTGGCAGGTAGGGCATTCAATGTAGACATAGCCTTAGCAGCACTACTTCATCTCTGTTGGGATTATAACAGTACAACTCCCAGTGTGGCTTCAGTTTTATTGGCATACAGTGCTTTTACCATCTCTACAAGAAGGGAAATAACTACTGGTATAAATCACTATATACCAACTGCAGCTACACTGAGGATTATATCAATACAGTTATTCAGTAAAAATCTACATCACTACCTGATACAGTTATACTGTTAAACCTTTCAGTTGTAGACCAGGCCTTAGTGAAGCAGGAACTTAAGAGCATAATCTGTGTGACTCTGAAGGGAGCAGAACCACAGTAATGGCTCGAGGAATTTGGGAGCCTAGAACCAAGTGTTATGCTTAGTCTTTGTCTACACTACAGGTTCAACCTCTAGACCTCAGAACCCTCAGAACCTAATCAGAGCCGAACCAGAGAATTTGCTGGACCAAGGGAGGTCAGTATTGTCTGGCAGCATTACAAACACTTCCACTGCATATTGGGCTCTTAGAAGACATTTAAGGGTAAATTAGAACTAAATAACAGCACAGAACACTGAGAGCCAGGACTGGTGGCTGTAAGCATGCTTTATAGGACTGCAGGAAACTAGGCCGCACCCATAAATGGATATCTGGCTAACTAAAATCATGCTGCGCCACGCATG